TGAGAGATGATAACCATCCTAGGAATCTGCCCAACTCCTTCTATACACCCTGCCACCCAGGGACCGGCTGCTTGAGGGCACATTTCAGTATTGCCTCACCCAAAAGTTGTCTTCTCTTATACCAGGATGAGACCAGATTCCACAAAACCCATAATATGCGACCAGTATTAATTAGTAGTATTGAACAGCTCACGTAAGGGTGAACAAGGACCTCGGGAGCCTGCACAGTAGAACCATTCACATCAATGCCACGTAGGGAGAGGGAGATGTATTCCCTCATCTCCTTCACAAGATAGCTCCCCCAGCACAGCAAGGCCACCAGTGCCAGGGTAAAACACATAGCCATTGTTTGTATTAGCACATTCTCACGTTCCTTCATCCTCCCCACAAAATAGCTCCCCCGGCACAGCAAGGACATTAATTCCAGGGCAAAGCATATAGCCATTATTTGTATTACCATGTTCCCAAGCTCAGCAAAATAGAGATAAGCAAAGCAGCCAACAAACTCCCTGACCGGCACAGGAGCTTGCCACTTAAAAACTACTATAGCTATAGCACACTTAATGCAAAACTGCCATTGTCATATCCTGTCCAAAAGGACTGTGGTAGGTTGACCCTGGCTGGATGCCAGGTGCCCACCAAAGCCGCTCTATCCCGCCCCCTCCTCAGCTGGAGAGAGGAGAGAAAATATAATGAAAGGCTTGTGGGTCGAGATAAGGACAGTTTAATCAAGCAAAAGCAAAGGTCGCCTGCAAAAGCAAAAGAAAACAAAAGATTTTATTCTCTATTTCCCATCAGCAGGCGATGTCTGGCCACTTCCCAGGAAGCAGGGCTTCAGTACTCATAGCAGTTGCTCCGGAAGACAAACGTAAAATAACGAATGCCCCCCCCTTCCATCTCCCTTTACTGAGCTTTTACAGATGAGCTGACCACATGGTATGGAATATCTGTTTGGTTAGTTTAGGTCAGCTGTCCTGGCTATGTCCACTGCCAAGGTCTTGCCCAGCCCCAGCCTGCCGTTGAGGGGGGGCAAAAATGTTGGAGAGACAGCCTTGATGCTGTGCCAGCACTGCTCAGCAGTAGCCAAAACACTAGTGTGTTATCAACACCTTTCTAGCTACTGATGCACAGCACTAGGAGGGCTGCTGTGGGGAGAATTAACTCCATCTCAGCCAGACCCAATACAGCCACGAAGATGATCAGGAGGCTGGAGCACCTCTCCTATGAGGATAGGCTGGGACAGTTGGGGTTGTTCAGCCTGGAGAAGGCTCTGGGAGACCTTACAGAGGCCTTCCAGTACTTCAAGGAAAGATGGGGAGGGATTCTTTATCAGGGAGTGTAGTGATAGGATATGGGGTAATGTTTTTAAACTGAAAGAGGGTAGATTTAGTTTAGATATTAGGAAAAAAAATCTTTGCTATGAGATCGGTGAGACACTGGAACAGGTTGCCCAGAGGGGTTGTGGATGCCCCATCCTCGCTGGGTGTGTTCAAGGCCAGGCTGGATGGGGCTTTGAGCAACCTGGTCTAGTGGAAGGTGTCCCTGCCCATGGCAGGGGGGGTGGAACGAGATGATCTTTAAGGTCCCTTCCAACTTAAACCATTCTATGATTCTGTGACTCCTTGACCAAACTAGTGGTAGTTTTGTTCAGGCTCCGATGGAGGTAAAGGTCTAAGCCATAACCGGGCCAAGAACTTTTTTAGCTCCAATCTGTTCTCTGAAACCCCCCAAAGAAATAGTGACACAGTGAGTATCGATACATATGAGCTTGGAACACCGATCATGCAATTAACACATGAACAGTGAGCAGCTTTGCCAAGACTCATTTATCAAGGAACAAAGAAAATTGTGGGTACAAGGAGTCCCATGCATACTTTTTCCATCGCATGTAATTTGACTACAAGACAGCCACTTTATTCATAGAATTATAGAATCATTTAAGTTGGAAAAGACCCTTAAGATCATCAAGTCCAACCATAAACCTAACACTACCAACTCCACCACTAACCATGTCCCCAGGCACCATGTCTACGCGTCTTTTAAGTACCTCCAGGGATGGTGACTCCACCCCTTCCCCGACCAGCCTGTTCCAGTGCCCAACAACCCTTTGGGTGAAGGAATTGTTCCCAATATCCCATCTAAATCTCCCAGGGTGCAACTTGAGGCTGTTTCCTCTCGTCCTGTCACCTGGGAGAACAGCCCGACCCCCACCTCAACACAACCTCCTTTCAGATAGTTGTAGAGAGCGAGGAGGTCTCCTCTTGGTCTCCTTTTCTCCAGGCTAAACCACCCCAGTTCCATCAGCCCCTTCTCTTGTTCTCCAGACCCTTCACGAGCTTCATTGCTCTTCTCTGGACACGCTCCAGCACCTCAATGTCTTTCTTGTAGTGAGGGGCCCAAAACTGAACATGGTATTCAAGATGAGGCCTCACCAGTGCCGAGTGCAGGGGGACAATCCCTTCCTTAGTCCTGCTGGCCACACGATTTCTGATACAAGCCAGGATGCTGTTGGCCTTCTTGGCCACCTGGGCACATTGCTGGCTCGTATTGAGGCAGCTGTTGACCAACACCCCCAGGTCTTTTTCTGCTGGGCAGCTTTCCAGCCACTCTTCCCCAAGCCTGTAGCGTTGGGTGGGGTTGTTGTGACCCAAATGCAGGACCCGGTATGGCAGCCTGAGTGAGCCACCCTTGAGCTCTCCCTGCTGAACAGCTGGCTGCGGGGCAGTGCTCTCCCCTTGAGCTGGGACACCTCTCAAGGTTGCTCCTCGAGGCAGAGACCTCTTACCAGCTGCAGATCTTTGGTAAGTGACCAATGTTGCGCATAATCTTGTATTATAGTGCACTAAGGTTTCGTATTGGTAACTTTGATTTTGTCTTGGTAGTTCTGAATCATTGTTACATTCTTTTTGCAGTAGGTAATAGAGTGAACCTTGCCATTGAACTTTGATAAGTTGCACTTTTACAACGCCATATTTCAATAAAACCCACTTTTGCTGATACCTTTGGCGGTGATTCTTTAAGCGGTCTAAATCGCCCGCCCACGACAAATTGGCATGATGGTCAGGATTCTAAATCTTATCTGATCAGGGCCACCAAGACGGTCGGGGACTGATGCTTATAAAGCACAAAAAGAGTCTGAGTGAAGTGGGTTTGCTCAGTCTTAGAAGGCAAAAGGCAGACCTCAATGCCATCTTCACTTAGTGGAAGGTGCAGAGAGGCGGCACGTGGAGCAGCATGGATGTAGACAGAGGCAGAGAGCCTTTACACTTCTCCATGTGATTTGGAGCAAACTTTGCTGTCTCAGTAAGCTTCATCTCGCCTGCCTCAAACCACCACAGCACCACTGGCCCACCTCTGCTGCCTTTCCGGATATTGGAGGTGCTTATGCTCGGGAAGAAGTCAAACAAGGCTGAGATGTTGTTTGTTGACTTTGATTCATGATGACCATGTTCATTTGCCTACGCTGGGGCGAAGCAGGACCTTGAGCTGCTCCTTTGCAGGAGCAAGGAATCCTAACCAGGACATATCAGTAGATCAGCTCACCAGAGGTCCCCCCAAAACAGGCCTCTTTCTGCCTCAGGGAGGCATTTTGGTGCCCTCTCATTTCGGAAGGCAGAGCCTGAAGACACCTCAAGTCATACCACATACCAGATCTCCGTGGTTTGGAGGAAATTCCTGCCTGCTGGCCCCAGGGGCGAGGGTGTGCGGAGGAGAGCACTGCTAATGCAGGTCCACAGTTGGCTGAAGAAATGATGTTGGCAATGGGGTTTGGGGCTCTACGACCATGGGACCCGGTATGCAGATCAGTGTCTGCCTGGGAGAGACAGGATCCACCTCACCAAAGGGGCAGAGGAATCTTTGCTGATTGAATGGCTGACCTTGTAAGGGGGGCTTTAAACTAAGGATGAGAGGGAGGGAGTATCCAGCAGTGCTGTGAGGGAGTGACAGACAGGGTCAATGAGCAAAGGGCAGGGGGTGATGTGATGGGAAGGGATCACAAAATCAACAAAACAGACCTTAAGCAGGTCACTTCCAGCACTTGCGTGAAAGCAAGGCAGTGCCAACATGGCACCATGATGGAAAAATCCCCAAACCCTCTCCAGGAACTCAACGTGCTGCGGTACTTCTCTAAAGTGTCTGTACATTAACACACGTGGTATGGGGAATAAACACGAGGAGTTAGAGCTCTGCGTGCAGCTGCAGGGCTACGATCTTGTTGGGATCACAAAGACGTGGTGGGATGGCTCCCAGGTCTGGAGTCTTGCGATGGAGGGACACAGGCTCTTATGGCATGGGGGCTCAGGAGGGAAAGCAGCACCAGCACAACGGTACGTGGAGGAACAGAGCTTGGGCTTTATCCTCAGGAGGTTCCCCAGCACCTTGCCGGGTGAGGAGGGGCTGTGCTCTGCAGACCTCTCCTGCAGGGGTGGAGTGCCCACACGTCAGGAAAGTCATTTCAGGAGCTAGTGCCACTGAGTGACAGCCTTTGGACCAGCCCCTCCATCCATAAAGAACTCAAAAACCTCCACGCCTTCACACTACTGGAACGGTTGGTGTTCCTGCTTCTTCTCATGGTGCCGCTGAAGATTTAATTCCCTGTAGGGAAGAGGGAAACCCCTTTGTCCACGAGTGTCATGGGTTAATCCTGTTAGACAGCTAAGCCCCACACATCTTGGGGGATGGAGGAGAGAATGGGAAGGCTACAAGTGAGACAACTCATAGGTTGAGATAAAGACAGTTTAATAGGTAAAACAAAAGCCGGGTGCACAAGCAAAGCAAAACAAGGAATTCATTCACTGCTTCCCATGGGCAGGCAGGTGTTCAGCCATCTCCAGGAAAGCAGGGCTCCAGCACGCGTTAACAGTTACTTGGCAAGACAAACGCCATCACTCCGAACGTGTCCCCCCCTTCCTCCTTCTTCCCCCAGCTTTTATTGCTTGAGCACAGTGTCATGTGGTCTGGGATATTGCTTTGGTCAGTCGGGGTCAGCTGTGTCCCTTCCCAACTTCTTGCCCACCCCCCAGCCTACTTGCTGGTGGGTGAGAAACAAAAAAGGTCTTGACGCTGGGCAGGCACCGTTCAGCAGCAGCTAAAACAGGGGGGTGTTATCAACACTGTTTTGGTCACAAATCCGAAACACAGAACCACACCAGCTGCTATGAAGACAATTAACTCTATCCCAGCCAAAGCCAGTGCAATGGGACACACACCTCCCATGAACCCTCTACAGCCATCTCCTGCTCTATCACCCCACGGCCACTTGGGGATCTCTTGGTCTGAAGGAAGGAAAGGGGGAGCAGCATGGAGATGGGGTGAGTGAGCAGAGAGCAGAACAGCCCTGTGGGGAGAACTTCCTCACGGCTTCAAAGTGAGAAGAGCCTTGCTAAGGACCAGGGTGGGAGTAGCTACATAGCAGAGGATGGCTTTCATCCACTGCTCCCTGGGTCATGGGCTCACTCCTTCTGGGTGACTCTGCGCAGGACTGATGCCAAGCAAACCAGGCAGCGCTCACCATGTGGATTCCTGGTTTACTCACAACTTCCATGCTACTTCATGCTGCTGCAGTAAGTGTGACCCCAGGACATGAGCTTAAAGCTCTCTCGGGCAAGTTTCCCATAGCCCTGGTGAGGAGGTCTCTAGAAGAGGTGGGTTAGATCTCCCAATGACATGTTCTGAGCATGGCAAAATGCTCCCAGACCCGCCTGCTGGCATTACGGCCTTTCTGCGCCCCAAGCCACCCTGGCTTTAGACGTTTCCCGTGCCTTCAGCTGAAGTGAGAGACCAGGTGCTCTGGGAGGGAAGAGGAGGATTTCTCCTGGAGGAGACACACATGGAAGCACTAGCTGGTGCAGGACAAGTGAACGTGGAGGCCACTTTCATGCTCTATGGCAAGCATCTTCCAGGAAGGGCTTTCAAAATTTCACAGAATTGTATGTGGGGGCACTGCACACCTCTCTTACTTTGTTACTAGAGGGGTTATTAAAAAAATCTCGGTGTTCTAAAGCGAAACACGACAAATACCAAGCCTAACAGTATTGATACCATTATGTTGATCCACATTGGCAACTCTCTCCTGGTGCTGCCATATTCCTGCTGCAGTCTAGAGGTTACCATGTGCAGGTGGGTGGCTTTATCACAGAAGCCATCTTTGAGCAACACAGCCTCCTCCTGTGAAGACAGTCAGGTTGTCGGCAAGGGCACGGTGTGTGCAGTGGGAGGGCCACAGAGACAAGAAGCAATGGGAGGGATCCAGCTGGGACCCCTTTGCCATTCCTGCCTGCTAGCCACATCTTGGCACCTGCACCCTCCCACTTGGTACCTTTGATTTATGTCTGATCATCTTCTGTTGCTCCTCCAGCTGCTTCTCACTGCAATTCTCCAGCTTCTTTCTCAGCTGAAGCACATGCTTTTCCCAGCTGCGTAACTGGTCCTCCAACTTCTGTCTCTCTTCAGCCTCCTTCTGCCTCTGGACCGCCCTCTCCTGCTCAGCTCTCTCATGCTGCTCTTGCTCACCTGGTGACAGAGAAAGAGAGATGTTGCAAGGGCAGGAGCTGACCCCAAGGAGTCCTGTTGTCCCCCTCCATCAAGCTTGGCCCTCCACAAGCAGTGGCGTTTCTCCAGCCCAGAAGGTACTTTTTAGCTCCCTGTCCTTCTCCGTCAGGGAGCGGTCTGTGTTGAGGATGCTTTCGGCCAGAGTCTTTCTGCTCTGGAGGAACTCCTGCAGGACAGCATCAGCCTGTAGGACCACAGGTAGAAGAGGAGTCAAGGGGAGACACAGCATCTGCGGGGAAATGGTTTCTTGGGGGAAGGGGATGGGACACGGAGCCTCTCCCCTTGAAGAGGAGCTGCTCTCATTCCTACCTTCACCCCCTTGCGAGGCAGTTCCCAGTATTTCTCCACCAGTGCCTGCTGGTCTTCTTTGAACAGCTCATAGCCCCCTGACACATTGTAGACACCATCACTGATTCGTTTCTCCATGTCTTGGGAGAGGTCCCTGAGAGCAGCCTTGCACTTGTCATGGGACGCTTGCTCGTTGTCCTTGCAGAACTTTGCCTTGACTGCCTCTACCTTGGTCTGTCCAGAAAGATGCAGAGGGAAGGCATCAGCCCAGGCTGAGCTGCACCCGCCTTTCTCATGCTAGGCAAAAATCAAGCCAGGTCAACATGGGAATTGGGATCTCCAGTCTGTGGGGTAATCAGCTGGGAGGTGACGGGTGGGGAGGGCAGTCCATGCCCATGGACATCTCTGGGCCAAGGTGCACAGGAACAGAGAGCATGCCAGGGACCACAGGCTCCACAAAACACAGGGACAAGAATTGGTCAGCAGGACAGGGGAAGTGTGGAAGCCTACAGGCTTCCAGCCAGGGCAGAGACACCTCTGGGCTGCAGCGAGAGAGGGGCAGGGCTGAGCTTCGTCCCCATTGCAGCACAGCTTCTGAACCTAGGGAGAAGGGGTAGTGCAGCAGGGACAACTGCCAGTCTGCAGAGTGTGAGAGCAGGCGTTAGGACTGAGTCAGCTCTGGAGAGGGCACAGCACTGTCCTCTGGCAGGAGGCAAGGAGACCCCTGTACCCCAGGACCAAAAGCTAAGGGGCTGATGGTGTCCCTGGGGGAATCCTGGCTGGGCTGGGGAGCACCTACTATGAGATCTGCCTGGAAACGGCAGATGCCATCCTTGAACGCCCGTGCCATGAACAGCTCCAGCGCCTCCTGCTCGCACTGGCTGTGCAGCTCCAGCAGCTCCTGAACAGTCTCTGTCGGCAGCTTTGCCCGCTGCGCCATCAGATCCTGGTACAACGTCACAGCCTCCTTCACTGCTGCTGCATTCTCAATCTCTGCCAGGGCGAGCACCGCACTCTCCAGGCACGGCACTGCCCCGCTCTGGATGGTCTCCACGTAGGTCGTTGCCAGTTTCCCCAGCACTGCCAAGGAGGACCAAGGATGAGAGATCTGCAGCCTGAACAAAATGCAGGCTCCCATTCGGCCCTGGGTCCTGCCATATCCCTGCTGCCTCCCTGCCAGAGTCTTCCTGAACATCTTTTCCTAATTGTTTCCCACCCCACCTGCAGCATCCAGAAGCTTCAAATCCAGAGGCAGGGACAGCAGCCAGCAGAAAATCTCTCCCTTTCCCCACCTGCATCATTTGACTCTGCATTTGCTCCTTCCCCAGACACAGTCCCAAGAGCTGCTGGCCATCCAACCCTCTGGGCAGGGTTTGGATAAACTCACGGTTTCCTGTTATGATGTGGCCACCGGGGACGGTCTTAGGCGGAGACTTTTCCCAGACGTGGCTGCAGAATTTCTCCACCTGCTGCTGGAATTCAGGATTGATCTCATCATCCTGAAGATCCTCCAAGCAGACCAGGTCCCTCCTGCGGGCCGGCTGCTCAAAAACAAAGCACTTGCGATCTGGAAAGAACTGGCGGATGCATTCCCGGGGCTGGTTGTAGTATTGGGTCTCCTGGTTGCTATCTGTGGGGTAAGAGGACACGGAGCAAGTTGAACGGGCTTGGGCTGTTGTTGACTTACACTGAAATGCTGCTGTGTCTGGGGCTGGACATCTCCAGCAGCACAGCACCATTCCCTTACCAGCCTTTAACTTCAGTGCCTCCTCCAAGTATTCGTCCTCAGAGATTTCCTTCCCACCCGCCTCCAGCTGCAGTGTGAAGTCCCGGACAGCCCAGATGAAAGTCGGGAAGAAGAGGACAAATTTTTCTGAATCATCCAGTTCATCTTCACTCTCCTTGGGTGCTGCTTTCAACTTGACATGGTCAGTCAGCTTCACCACATAGCTAGGGAGCTGGCTAAGGAAACAGGGACCTCAGCTCTGAACGCAGGGGCATCGCCATCCTGCAACCCCTCAGCACTTCATGGGGAAGAGAGGAGACTCTGCAGGACAGAGAACAGCCAGGAACCGCCAGAAGGAGGAGGGAGAAAACCCCTCAGCCCCGAGGTCCACAACATGGGACTCCCAAGGACTCAAAGCACATTGCTGGGCACCACCAGAAGGTTCTGCAGCTGTCTGAGGAACTGCGATTTGTCAACCCCTAACCCACCACACAGGGGGAGGAGGGCATCCCTGGTGCTGCTGTCCCACCAAGGATACTGCAGCTGGTCCATGGCCAGCTGGTCAATGGTGCCTCTGCTGTTGTAGATCAGGGTGCTGGAGAGCAGTATGGTTAGCACAAAGATCCATGTGTCATTCCTGGTGTCGCCCTGGAACAACAACCCTCGGCTCTTATCAACAAGACCCCCTAAGTATGAGCAAAGCCCCAAATCCCCAGACCCTGAATGCCCCTAACCAACAGGCCATGGCAAGACCAATTTTTTGAGAGACCCACCCCCATGCCATCACCGTGTCTTTCTGTAGCTGGCCTTATTCTCAACTCTTTACTCTCAGGGTCTCACAGACCTCTATCAAAGTGCTCCCTGAGGTCCTCCTTCCCGTTTGCTGCTCTTTTCCAGAGAAGCAGAGGAATTTGGCAAATTGTCTACCCCGACCTCCTTCCCCATGGCCTCTGGCTTTTCCCAGCACACAGGCTGAAGGCCACCATAGGTGGTGGGGACACCTTGACTCTGGTCACCACGGCTGGGCCCTCAAGAGCTTCCACAAAGTGCTGGAATTGCACAAAGGGAGCTCCCATTTCTTCCACACCTTCTCCACGTCGCCCAGCCCTTCAGTGTCCAGCAGCACCAGAGTGTGTCCAGGCCGGCAGGGGTGAGGTACACACCACATCCAGATACCTTTGGTGTGGGACTGCACGGTGGAGCCCAGGGAGAAACCTGTGGGGAGGACACAAGGGTCTCAACGGTGTTAAATACAGAGTAGGAAAACCCAGGTATCTTGGCCACCCAGGGCTGGGACCTCCCTCACCTCTCCTCTGACCAGCCAGCCTGTTCATGAGGTAGGACTTGCCGGTGCGGTACAGCCCGGTGATGGCCACCACCACCACAGGCTGGGTGATCTTTGACAGCACCTGCAGAGCCTCCGGCCGGACCACCAGCCCCCTCGCCGGGGTGTTCTCAATGAGGCAGACAGGCACCGGCATGTGGGTTTCAGATGCCATTGCCGACAGCAAACGCAGCCTGCAAAGGAGGTGGCAAGATGGGCTGGTTAACGACGTGGGGGCACCACCCCACAGTCCAAACAGGGACAGTTATTATCATTCTACTTCATTTTTCCAAGCAAATCATGCCTTGCACCCAATTCCTTCCACCACGCTTCCTCTTTTTGCCCCTCCCAAGTGATGCTGTGAAGACAACAGTGACACTTGGAAGAGGTGCACAACCCCTCCCCATTTGCCCCACAACAGAAATAGCTCAATTTCTGAAAGCCCGGTGGGATAGTGGGAGTACTCTGCATTATGTCCTGAACACCAATTTAAAGTTTGCTGAATGCTTAATTGTGCAAAAATGGGTGCAGGCCATAGCAATGGCCTCAGGCGGGGCTCTAGGGCAGGAGGGATGACTGACGAGTGACACAGGCACTAAGGGAAGGATAGGTTAGGGGGGGAAATTGAAGCTTAGGGGAGCTGCTTATGAATTTCTTCATTAATTTCCGATGGCTGACCTCATCAAGCCCCCTCTCACCCCCCCTCTGTGCCTCCCACAGGCACATGCTTGGTGCTTGCCCTCGCAAGGCTCCCATCTCGCCTTTCCTCCTCCGTGTGTTGGTGGGTGACCCCCTCCACGCACTCCAGTGCTCAGCCCCCGCCTGTCCTTGCCTTTCGCCCGGATGGTGAGACTGCCAGTGGCAGGGGGGCTTTCACCCAGTCCAGACCCTTCCCTTGCACAGCCCCAGCCATCACCCAGCCCCTGCCAGGTACCAGTAAACCCACGGACATGGCAGCAGCACAATGGCTCATCCCATGCCCAGACCCAGAAGCTGCCCCACTGCAACCTCCCAGACACCCCAGGACTTGCTCCGGCAACGGCAAGCTCCACGGACACTGCCCGCTTCTGGGCTTTGAACCCTCTCTGAGGACCTCGCAAGCCCCGACCTCTTCCAGGAACATCAAGGGCATTGCCACTCAGGGACAAGAGGCTGCCCTTCATGTCACAGGTACCCCCAGCACAGCAGGGAGGAGAGGAAAGCTTAGTGCACGGGGTCCAAGCTTTGGCGAGTCTTAACTTGCATGCAAAGCCTGGGGGGGCTGAACACAGGCTCCTAGCCACCCATTCCCCTTGCTCCATCCCAGAGCCTGAGCAGACCTTTGGACCTCTTCCTCCTCCTACCTGGTGGGATCCCTGTCACTTACTGGGCTCCCTGTTGTTTGCTGGGGTCAGATGGAAGGAGTCGCTCCGCAGCCCCAGTGTCCAGGGCTGCTTGCATTGGGTGGGGAGGAGGGATTAGGGGAAGGGACTCACCGTTGTCTTCTTCTCCTGCCCTGGGCTGCAACAGCTTTGCTGCAGTCTGGGTCCTGCCCTGCCTTTTCCCCTGTGCATACGGCCAGCCCTCTCCTCCTATTCTGGGAAATGGGTGAGTCAGAGACCGAAAGCGAAAGTCAGGTTCTGGGAGGGAGGAGGAAAACCCCAGCCATAGAGATGGCCTGTGAGTTGACCCTGGCCAGCTGCTAAGCAGTAAACTTGGAGGAGGTGAGATAAAGATGGTTTAATAATTGAAAGAACAAGAACGAAAAACAAGCGATGCAAAAGCAAACACTCACCACCTCCCAGTTGCCCAGCCAGTTTCAGAGTTACACTCACCCTGGGAGATATCTTCTCACCCCTTCTTCTCTGATCCCGCTTTTTATTGCTGAGCATGATGTTATCTAGTGTGGAGGGGTGGTGAGATACTGCAACAAGTTGCCCAGAGGAGTTGTGGATGCCCCACAGAAGTTGTGGATGGCCCATTGCTGGAAGTGTTCAACGCCAGGTTAGATGAGGCTTTGAGCAACCTGATCTAATGCAAGATGTCCCTGCTCACGGCAGGGAGGTTGGACTAGCTGATCTTTGAAGGTCCTGGCTGTGACCCCTCCCAGCCTCTTGCCCACCCCCAGCTTGCTCACTGCCAGGGGGCAGAGTGGGAAAGAAGAGGAGGCCTCGATGTTGCAGCAGCCAAAACATATGTGTGTTATCAACACGGGCTTGTGATGAAGAAAGTTAACTCTGTCCCAGCCACACGTGCGGTGCTGTGGTTCCCAATTCCCTCTTGTATCCACCAAGTGCGATATAGAGAACGAACTGCTTATTGCTTAATGATTGTCTCTCTGTAACTTTACATACCAAGGACTGGTGTTTGTCAAGGATTAAGCCTGTCAGAGACTGGTACTTGGGAGTGATGAGCAAGAAGGAACCATGAGCGATCACAAAACTTAATTAAATGTTTGATGAATTTACGATCTTGTTGAGAAGCACAAGTAGAGGCCTTGCTTGAATAGATAGGGCCGGAAAAGATAAGAACTCCTGCCTTTGTTCTCGTCCTTGTAGATAATTTAGCTTAAACTAACCATATGGTTTTTACACCACTACTGAGAACTTAGATAATAAGAACACTAACGAGCAGTGATGTATTAAAACATGTAAAAGACCATACTGCGCAGAATCACCTGAGAAGGGTCAAATAGCGGACAAGTGAGGAAGACTATGGAAGACCACCGGAGGACTCCTGAAGACCACCAGAGACCTTCAATGCGCCTGCGTAAAGGACATTTGCATATGCTAATAGTTTCCCGGAAAACTAATGAATATGTATAAAATTTCTCGGAAATCTAGTGAATATGTATATAGAACATGAATTTAACCTGCACAATTAGACCTGACGGTGTGCACGATAGGTGGAGCGATCCCCCGTGCATCCAGCGCTGCCAATAAAGAATACCTACTTAATAGTTAATCAAACTATTGAGTTAATTTCTTTGAATCA